TACCTTAAAACCATCGGCCAACCGCAGCGTGGCTCCACTCAAGAGCTGTTGACGACCCGCGAACCTAGCAAGGAGGAAATCTTCGTACTGCGCATCACGCATATTTCCTTTATACATGTTGATATCAGTGACCTCAATGTCCATATTCTGTGTCCGATTTCGAGGAGCATCTGGACCAGACCGACTCACAAACCCCAGCACCTGGTTTCACCATCAACCCCAACCCACTGCACTGCAGCCTACCTCTCGAGTGGGGCGACCACCGACGTACTCGGCCGGCTTGTCTGCTTCCTTTTGCCCATCGACAGCTGCTGCTTTAACCGCGGCTTTGGCACGTCTCTTCTCAACCTTTCGGTCCTTCTTTGCCATCACTCGACTGCGGTGAACAATCAAACACAACTATTCAATGCCACACTTCAACACCAAACCCTGCCCTACACCAACTCGACCACTACGACATTGATGATTACGCAAAACTTACGCAGAATACGCTAAGTCAACGAGGCTGCAGCTGCTGCTATCACTACCAGCGATACCGTGACCGGTTGTGATATGCGCCCGCCTCAGCGTTCATTAGTTGCCGTTTATTACCATGAAAAGTATCATCAAAAGTTATAGTAAATATCAATCGTTATACTGAAACTCATTAACCAATAACTACTACTTGATAGTAGCACCAGTGAGAGCACCATTGCATACATATATCTACCGTTCTATGGCCACTGAGAAGCTATAAGGGAACCACGCAGTAGACCCCGTCTGTGGGTGAGGAATGTCCTATCAATGACGAGAGCATTTCCAACCCAACATCACCTCCCTCCTCTACTCACCCTCCAATCTTCGTCTACTCTCATGCCAGCAGCCCAGCCACTCGCCGTCACTTCCAACACTCTAACCACATCGCCAGCGCAAAGGTCAAGAAAGTTGTCGTTGTTGCCAAGACTCATCGTCTCAGGGTCCGGACTGAACAATACCAATAAACCATCAACTAAGCAGACTCCATCCTACACATAATCATGCACTATACGTCTGTACTCATTTACCGCCCTAGTGTCCCCCTCAGCTGCTGGGGCTGTGCCCTGCTGTTGCTGGTATTCCTGTTGTGGTGGTCCTGGCCTCGGGTACTGACTACTATGGGCCGCTGTAGTAGCAGCAGCAATCGCCTCAAACTCCCTTCGACGTCTCGAAGCCTCATCGCCATACCCAG